TAGGAATTTTGAACGGGTCTGTATCTACATATGTCTATAAAGTAGACCCAATAAATGTCTCTGAAATCGTGTCAACCAGGGAATGATTCTACATGGGAATTAATCAAATGAGTCGAAAATACAATGTTTATGTATTGCAAATATTTCTCTACATAGACGAACTCTATGAAAAAATGAACTCTGAAAGGTCACAGATCCAACCATAACCATCGGTGGTGTCATTTTATCCCCGTCGTAATTATCCAGCATCCTATAAATTCAAACGCGAATTTATTAATCATTCGTACCGTTTATAACGTAGTACGAGCGGCTTTTGGTTAACGGTAAAATCGGTACGCATCCGGTGCGAGTTCGCGCGCAATACCACCGATGAAATAACGCGGTCGTGTATCGTTTCGCTTCAACGAATGGCTTGTTTGTCATGTGAACGTACGCATCACGATACACACGCTGCTTTTCCCCGGTAAATCTCGACGTTAAAGAGCGCTGGAGAATCGTTTCAGATCGATGGATTCTTTTTCTTTTTTTTCCTTTTTTTTGATTTTTTTTTTTTTTTTTTTTTTTTATTTAATGAATCGAGTAAAATGAGAACAATCTGATGTTGCATAGTTAGATAAAAAACGCGATATAAGTAGATACGAAAATAAAGTCCATGCTATTTTTATAATTGTCAGATCGTTTCACGAGTTTTGCTAAAGTGCTCTGTTTCCAATGAAAATCTTTTCCAATTCTTTTCAACTTATTTTACTATTCGATGACTGGAAAGTAGCATCACGATTTTTTTTCTTCGAGTATTTGAAATTCGACAATCGTATATTTTTCATCCGTAGCTTCCACGTTTTCTCGTTTCGTTCATCTTGTTATTATTCCTCCGTTTCTCATCTTTCCATTGTTAGAACGAATCGCGATCGCGTTTCAATCAAATTATTTAGTTATTTAGTTATCGGGGCAAAAGGAGTTCAGAGGTAGAGATCGAAGAATGTAATGGGCACAGTGTGTTTAATGAGGAGAGATGACCGTGGAAAAGATCGGTCGTATTGTTCGCCGATAAAAGAAAGCCGAGTGAATATTCTGCGTTCAGAATATTCGCGCTCCTTTCGATCCCGACTCGAGATGGACTTGGCCGTTTTCTGGAATGAAGTTCTAATTACCGCTTCCTTTTCCACTCGTACCCGTTTCTACCTGGGTCAACACTTCAATTATAATTTAATGACGTGAGAATAATTATCAATTCATTTGAAATTAACAACAAATTTGAATCTATTAGCCGCTTGCACATGGCGTGTATTATAAAAACCGGTTACGATTCTTTCATATTCCTACCATTCTTCTTTCTAATATATTATACTTGTTACTGATTTACAATCGATATGATAGATCTAGTGTTAATTATTTCATTCACGTATTCGCACATGTAAAAATTATTTCGTCAACGACTGTTAACGTACATTGTATAATTGGAATTTCAAGAGGAGTACAAAGGTAAAAGAGGAGAGGAATGATGTACGAAATAGAAGACAAGCTAAGAGAACAGGAGAAATTTAATAATTTAAAGTTAAGTTAAAAGTTCAAATATAATCCACGAGAATTCGATTACTTGGATGCTCGCCTATTTTCCTACGTATACTTAGCAGTTTTAAACGTTGATGTTTCTAAGTTGACCTCCATTTTTTTCAACTTAACTGATAAAAAAATAAACGAACTCTAATGAAAACAGTTAAATCTGCAAGTTCCTTTATTAACAGTAAATAGATCAAGTTTCCAATTCAATTAATTTCGAAGCAACCTGAACACCTACATCTATATGCGAGAGTAGGTTAAGTTAGGTTAAATTTAGATTTAGGTTAGGTTTCGAGCTAAATCTAACTTAACCTACTCTCAGGCATAGATATCAAATTTTACATGTTACACATTTTAAATGATTTTAAAATTTTACTGTGCGAAATTTCGCGACGCTTTCAAAGAAGCGTTAAAAAAACGAAAAGAGAGAAAGAGGAAAAAGGACGAGTGGATCGAAAAGATTGACGCAAGGAACGAACGAGGGTTAATACATAAGGAGGCTGATACACGTGTGTGTGATTTGGCCGTTCAACATTTCTTCTTTTCTTTCGACTTCGTCGCACGATACGAAGTTAAGCATCGTAGCATCCCCGATTAAAAGCAAAAGTCAATTATTCCGATTGCCTCTGTTATTCGAACTCACAGCCTTCGCTGCGGATAGGGACGAAAGACAAGGACGAGTGGCGCACGACGCGGATGGAATACCATTCTCGATCGGCTTCGATATACCCAGGGCAAACGAGAGCGCGCCTCCTCGGTGGAGAAAACAAGAGATCGATTCGTACACGCCGGCCAGGCATTCGTATATATACACCGGCGAGGTAATTGACTTTGGCGTCTCTGTTTCGTCGTGGCCGCTTGAGAAGAAGAGGAACTCGCGAGCGGCGTGGCGCGCAGAGAAATCCCCCGGTGGGTCGGCGCTCGTGCCTCTGTGACTGTGCGGCCGATTGATCTGTCAACCCCGTTAGGAAAAGAGTTGATCGACATGAATGAACCATTCAAGGCCACTTAATGGAATTCCCACGATTGTCCTTAAGGCATAATGCGACCGTGTCGGATATAATAGTGGCAACAGCTGTCCCCGTGCATGCTCACGTTTGTAATATGTATGTATGTATATATATATATACAACGGTGGACGAAAGAAAATTTGTATTTTTCTTCTGTGTGAGTACAGTGGCTCAACACTTATATATATATATTATGTATAAAACAATTATACAGTTTGAAATTAAAAGTGAAAATATACGTGGAAATTATAGGACATTTATTGCAGGAAGAATCATTTTAAATAGTTCTGTCGAGTAGATATTAAGATTTATTAACAGTATTTCTAAATTTGTTTCAAGTTTCGCCAATATAATCATGATATTATGCTTCATATAACACACGAGACATACCCCTAAAAAGTTCTTACTACATATCTACCGAAATTAGTCCTTTTTGTTTTACAACACGTATTTTTATTAACATTCTATTCCAAGATGTACATTATATATATCCAAATAGAACCCTTTAATCTTTATATTCGTGCATCTACATACACGTTAGCACACACGTTCGTTCATTAACGTACACGTGTACAGTGTTTCAGAGTGTTTAGGTATATAAATTCTTCCCCCCCCCCTCCCCTAAAAAAAAGGGAAAAAACACGTAATATACACGTGAGCGCATGCATATATGTATATGGACACGCGAGTGTTCCACATAATGGCCATTGTTTCTTTCGGTCCGCGAGAGATGCTGAGACGGGGGCAAAAACGTAGCAGCATTTTCATTCAATAAAGTTCACCGGTGGAGACGGTTTTTGCTAGTAGTCTTCCTCGAGCACGCTTCCTCCAGTGATAGTTTCTTCCTCGATTGAAACGCGCGCCACGAGTATACAGGCTACTGTTTCTGGCTCGGCTGAGCTATGGCATCGATAAGCGAGATCGATACGAGGTGTCGTTTTAATAACGCGCCGACACTGGGACCAACGATCGATGGCCGAAGCAGAGGGATCGTTTTGGCGTGGGACGCCAGGTCAACGACCGAGATATTATGCATTTTCATTCTATTCTTAATCTTCGCATTTCCGATTCTTTCTCGATA